AGCCGCTTGAGCCACAGGCGCCGAGCCAATGGGTATAATTTTTAAGAACTAGAAGAGAACTCTAAAGGGATTTTGAAGTGCTCAATACCCATAGTATAGTACTATCCACTTTTATTTGTTCCTTAATACCACAGTTCAAATTCATTGTGGGCTCATTACATCATATAATATACAACAAAAAAATTTTTAAATGTATTCATTGCTCATAAAGTAATTATTATTACCCTTATTTTACAATGAGGATATGTATAAAGTAACTTGTTCCAAGCCCACTCGAAGCATTGGAGACAGAATTCCAACCCAGGCAGTGCATCTCAACACCCTGCCGACTTAATTACTATATACTGCCCACTTTTAAAGGTTTTAGAAAAAATAAAAGTGAAGCCTCTATTCAGATTTACCACATGAACAATCTTTCCTAAGAGCTACATACATATAAAGCTGGCTAGAAATTATCACTCAAAAAAAAAAAAAAAAAAAAGAATCCATAAAAGATGGTATTTATAAAAAGTCTGTTTCTATTGAGATAAACAGATAGATAGGGCCTCACTACATGGGCCAAGCTGGATTCAAACTCGGCTCAGGTGATCCTCTGCCTCAGCCTCTAGAGTACCTCAGACGACAGACATACGACCCCACGCCCAGGTGAATTTTAAATCACTTTTCTATCCCTGCAAATGTCACAATTAACCAGTGACAAAGTACCACCCATACTCAAGTTCTATAAAAGATACTCTATTACTTATTACTATTTGCTATTGCTGAGTGCCTGACACATAGTAAGCAACTCAAAAAACATGCAGTAAGTTATTTGTAATGAGTGTAAAATTGAGTTAAAGGCTTGGCACCCGTAGCACAGTGGTTATGGCGCCAGCCACATACACCCAGGTTAGAGGGTTCAAACCTGGCCTGGGCCAGCTAAACAATGACAACAACAACAACAACAACAACAACAACAACAAAAAAACAGGCGTTGTGGTGGGCACCTGTGGTCCCAGCTACTTGGGAGGCTGAGGTAAGAAAATTGCGTAAGCCCAGGAGTTTGAGGTTGCCATGAGCTGTGACACCACAGCACTCTACCAAGGGCAATACAGAAACTCTGTCTCCAAAAAAAAAGAAAAAACTGAATTAAACTCAGAAGCCATTAGTTAAGGAAATTCTTAAAATAGTACACATTAATTACTCTGAAAATCTTTTAATTCCTCAATACAAAGCCAACTTCAATTACCTTCACAGGTAATGATTACTAGGCTGATTGATTTTAAATGAATAAATTCTACCTCAAAAGTGCTTCAATGGGAAATTAAAATTCCAGATCAAATAAGATCCAAAAACAGATGGCATGCTATAATAAAGTTAGCTGAAGCAGAACAGCTTACCTCTCCATAAATTCTAAATGTTCCAGTATCTTCATCTAACTCAATAGCGGTAACTCCAGGAACTTTCCTAGCTTGCTGTATATTACTACCATGCGTTCCTATTGCCAGACCCATTAAATCTTCTCTCACAACAAATTCCTCATGAAAAGCTGCTGCAAGTTGTTTTGTGCACTAGTAAGGGAGAAAATTAGAAATTATTATAAAAGATCCAAAATAAAATGGGTTTTGGTATCCCCGTCTTCACAATAACCCGAGGTGGAAGCAACCCAAATGCCTACCAACCAACAAACGGATAAACAAAATGAGGTATATACACACAAGGCAATTATCGGTCAGCCTTAAAAAGAAATTCTGACTTATGCTACAAAATGGGTGAACCTTGAGATTATTATGCTAAGTGAAATAAGCCAGTTAAAGAAATGACTACTGCTGCATGATTTCACGCATCTGAGGTATCTCGAATAGTTAAATTTATAGAGAAGAGAAAAGCAGAATGGTAGTTGCCAGGGGCTGGGGACAGAAGGAAATGAGGAAACTGTTCTCTAAAACAGAGGCCCCCAAACTTTGACAATAGGGACTGGTTTCATGGAAGACAACTTTCCCACTATTGGGGAATAAGGGGACAACAGAAAGGATACAAGAAGAGGCAGAGTTCCAGCAGTGGTGCCTCCCAGCCTGGTTCTTAACAGGCCACAGACAGTTATGGGTCCACAGACTGTGAGACCCAAGACCAAGGCTTTAAATAGGATAGATTTTCAGTTTTGCAAGATAAAAACTTCTGGAAATTGGTTAGTAATGTAAGTTTATTTACCATCACTTAAAACTGGTTAAGGTAAACTTTGTTATCTATACTTTAAAACCACAATTTTTTTAAATTAGGAAGGAAAAAAACTAACTTAAAAAGGGCTATAAGTTAATCCCTTAAGGAATAAAGAGAACTGATCTGATGTGATAAAAGTCAAAGGAAAAAAATTTAGTCAGTCTATTTAATCATGATCACAGAAAACAATAATTCTAAAACAATTTCCCAAAATTATAGACACAGGCAATTCCCATTTCAGACAATTCTGGCTTCAAAATTTGTTCACATATCCCTTGTTTAGAACTTTTGAATTACTGAGGACACTTACAAATTACTGAGGACACTTACAAATTTGACCTAGGGATAAAAATGCCTCAATTTCTCTAAGTCAAGACAGCGTGCTCATACATGTGTGTTCATTGTAAAAGTGAGGGAAAGAACATATCCTACTAGCATGGCATTGAAGAACAGTATCTCAGGACAAGAGAGAGGGTAGTGAACATGTTCCCCGGTGCCTCACTCCTAGTCCTCCACTCCTCTCCTCTCACACAAGTATTGTTACAGTGAACTAGTTACTGCTGGAAATGTCATGATGGACACACGGCAAGGTAGCAGAGCAAAGAAAAATTATCAAATAGTTCTACTGGGCATCCCTAGTTAATTTCCTAGCAATCTGGCAATTGTCATCTAAATACCAAAAAAATGTCAGCAGGTATTAGCATATGAAAGTCATCTTTGATACAAGTAAAATGGAAAAGCAATTCTTCTAAGGAGAGGACAAATCCAGGTACTAGCCACACAAAAAAGTCCTAGGTTCCCTTAAACAACAGTCAATTATTCTGAACTTGGGAACTCTAAAAATATACTCATGAAACTAAATGGGACACACAAAAAATCTTTTGTAAGTAAACCCACTTACTTCTAAATGCTTAGTGGCCTCTTCATTTCTGGACATTAGCATCAACTTTGTACGAATACTTCGCAAATGCATGTCACTTAAAATATTTACTCTTTTCACAGTTGCTTCACTGGCAGACTACAAACAAACAAGTTAATCACTCAAAAGTTTTATCAATTCCTAAGGTTGTCACACATGCACAATTTTTTACAAAGCCTTTCTTGACGCTTACCTACTATACCTCTCCCTTTACCAAAACCTCCCCTCCTTGAGTAAACCTACTTTCCTTTCTGAATTCCCATATTACTTAGGTCTGCTGTCCACAATACACTGATGGGAGAAATACAGGATTCACATGCATTATGAATTATATGATGTTAAGAATGTCATGTTTTAAGAATTTTATTTTGGGCTCGGCACCTGTGGCTCAATTGGCTAAGGCGACAGCCACATACACCTAAGGTGGCAGGTTCGAATCCAGCCCGGGCCCGTCAAACATCAATGATAGCTGCAACCAAAAAATAGCCGGGCATTGTGGCGGGTGCCTGTGGTCCCAGCTACTTGGGAAGCAAAGGCAGGAGATCTGCTTGAGCCCAGGAGTTGGAGGTTGCTGTGAGCTATGATGCCACAGCACTCTACCCAGGGGGACAGCTTCAGGCTCTGTCTCCAAAAAAAAAAAAGAAAAGAACAACTGAAAAATATACATCAAAACATTGATAAAAAAAATTGATACGTTATGAACTACTGATACAACAACACAGGCTAATCTCACAGACATAATTTTTTTTAAAAAAGAAGCTAGCCATAAAATGCCGTGTAATTCCATGTATTAAAGTTAACAACTAGGTACAACTAATGTATAGTGATAGAATAGAAGTGGCCTCTTGGGGATGGTATAGACTATGGAGGGGCACGAGGGCACCATCTAAGTTAATGGCTATGTTCTATATTTTGATCGAGGTGGTGATTAGACAAGTATATTCGTATGTAGAAATTCATTGAGATTTATAGTATGAAAGTTATCTTTTATAACAAAAGAAAGACAATATATTAGTGGTACCAATCCCTGGGTGGCAGTATTATGGCTGATTACTATTTTACTCTTTATATCTTTCTATATTCCCTATATGGCTTATTGTAATAAAGTGCCACTTTTATAAGCAGGGAAAAGAAATGCTATGGTGTTTGTAAAAGACTAAAGTCCTTTGAGATTCAAAGGATATACAGCTTTAATTCATAACCCCCAAAAAGAAGTGGTGTAGAATTGGTGATATTCTGTCTTTCAAGACATTCTGGGAAGTGGGCGACCAACTTGGCTGCTATTGTAGCTGTAAGATGGAAATAAAGGAACAAAATCCCGGAGGGATGAAGGGAGTAGAAATGACAGGAAATGGGTGACAAAGGAAATTGGATGGTGTCAGCAAATAGATGTTGAATGGGAAGAGAGAAGAGTCCAGGTGATTCTTTACTTTCTGGCTCCGGTGAACAGGGTTCAGAACTGCCATTCCCCAGGCCTGGGAAAGAAGGGAAAGAGACTCTAGCTAAAGATTCTTTTTTTTTTTTTCTCCTCTTTTTTTTTTTTATTGAATGGTAACTGTGTACATTGATACACTTTGGGGTCGCATATGTTGGTGAGATTCCTTAGGGAGTGTATTGTTTAGCAGTTGTAAAACTCAGAATCAGATTAGGCGTGGTGGCTCATGCCTGTAATTCCAGCACTTGGGAGACCAAGGTTGGTGGATTGCCTGAGCTCACAGGTTCAAGACCAGCCTGAGCCAGAGCGAGACCTCATCTCTAAAAATAGCAAGGTGTTGTGACGGGAGCCTGTAGTCCCAACTGCTTCGGAGGCTGAGGTAAGAGAATCATTTAAACGTGAGAGTTTGAGGCTGCTATGAGCTGTGACGCCACAGCACTCTACCAAGGCTGACCAAGTGAGACTCTGTCAAACAAAATAAAAATAAATAAAAAATAAATAAAACTCAGAATCACGGCTTGGCGCCTGTGGCTCAAGTGGCTAAGGCGCCAGTCACATACACCTAAGGTGGCGGGTTCGAATCCAGCCTGGGCCTGCCAAACAACAATGATGGCTGCAACCAAAAAATACCTGGGCGTTGTG